AGATAGAACTGCATTAAAAACTGCTTTAACTGGTCATCAACTCTTTTGTGGGCTAAACTAGGCCAGTACAAAAGAAATGATAAAGGAGAGGGAGAAAAAAATGCTGCTGGTGTAATGGGAAGACTTCCCAGGTCTTAGACAAAACACTTATCAAACCATCCTACAAAAACATTCTAAAATTTTTAAAAGGTAATTTAAGGTTGATAATGACTTTCATTACGGGTCAGATTATACCTTTAAGATGAAGAAAGTACTATGCATATTTCTTGTGATTGCCGAGCTACAACAACGCACAAAAAAAATTTGTTTCATGTAGAATTTCTGTCACCAGAACAAATTAAGAGCTCTTCTCTAGATTTAATTCTGGACTTTATTCACAAAGCTTTAAAAGGCTTTGTGTAATTAAAAATGAATTTGATACAATAGGACTCTTCTGGCTGCAGTACCGGCTATTGGGAAATTTTACGTTAATAATTTTAATAATAATAATAACACACACAAAAGAAACTTATTTCATATGGAATTTCTGTCACCAGAACAGATTAAGAGCTCTTCTCTAGGTTTAGGTCTGGACTCTGCTCACAAAGTTTCAAAAGGCGTTGTGTAGTCGCTAGTGAATTTGATACAATTGAACTCTTCTGGCCGCAGTATCGGCTCTTGGGCAATTTCACGTCAATAATTTTGATAAATTTAATAATAATAATACTATTCTGCATAAGAATAAATTTGTCATGGGCTGCCTTTTAAGTCTGGCGTCAAACAATGAAAATACAGCGGTTAATCAGTGAAAATAATTTTATTGTTTTTCAAAGTGTTCTAAATGATGGCCTATACATTTTTGCATTCGATTGAACCAATTTTCGAAACAGTTTTGCAACTCGAAAGTTGGTATCTCCAAATTCAGGGTTTCGAATGTCTTAATTGTTTGCTTGCTTGCCACAAATTTGTTTCTTAATGAAAACAAGAAGAAGTCATTGAGAGCTAGATCGGGCTGTGAGGCGGATAATACATCAATTTGATCAATTCGAGTGCTCAAAAACTCACATTGTCGTGGTGGAAGATGATCTTCTTTCAACAGTTAATTTTCCTCAATTCTCCGAAGACTTCTGACAAACCAAAAGTCGTGTACTACTCAGAATTGTCCGTTCTACGTTGTTGAAGTAGTATAGTTGCAACATGACCAATTTTTCTGAAAAAACATACGACCATTTGCTTGGATTTGTTCAGTTTGGAAAACCCAAACAATGAATTGCTATTTTGTTTAAGGTTTATAGGCGTATATTCATTATTCGTCACATGTCACGTTATCGTTGACGTGATTTAAGCTACATTGGCCATATTTTTCCAATAATTTCTTGCACCAATTAATATGTGCCTTCTTTTAAGCGATTGTCCAATTATGAGGAACCCAACGGTAACAAATTTTACAGGTAGCTAAATGTATATGTAAAATTAAATGTATGTTGGTCCCATTAATTGGCAAGGACGCCTCTAGCTCCCCGTATATAACATACTGATCCATCTGAATCATTTTTAGCACTGCATCTATATTTTTTTGGTATAACTTCTATTCTTAGACAACCGTTACAAAATTCGTTGTGGAGTAAACGACGACCACGCTCAAACTCAATGAACCAGCGTTTAAAAGGGGCTTGACGTAGCGTTTCACCACTATTTGTCAATTTTTTTTGTAGTTCGATATACATTTTTTATACGTATATCAAGTTATTCATTTATTATTATGTTAAATTTTTTTGTGTTTTTTGACGAAATAAATATATAGAAAGGTTTGAATAGTAATTAAGAAATAACAACAAATATTTTGGTTAATTTATTGAAATTTAGTTGACCGTACCACGCTGTTTCGAGTATTACCAAGTACTCATCTTCAGGGATCTTACGAAGTATTCGAATTTTTATATACCATAATTAGTCAAATTAGTGCGTATATAATTTGTGAGAGTGCAATTATTATTATTGTTTGTATAATAAAATGCAATTAACCAAAGGGTTTTGCTTCAATAAAGGAAATTGGCATAAATAAATAACTTAATTAGGAAAACTTTTTTCCATAGAAAATGCAGCAAATAAAACAAAATAACATTTTTAAGCTGATTAAAATTATTTTAATAAAATAAAACTTTTCTCATTTGAAAAATAAGCAATTTTCTGTTAAAAGTTTCTCAACTAAAACTTATTGAAAGTATATATTTTTTATACATAGATATTATATTTTGTAATATAACAGTTTTGACTTATTGTTTGAATATCAGATTACATACATATATAAAGTTTCAATTTTGTGCTCAACGGTTTTGGAAAATTTATTGTTTGTTTATACATTTTCAAATGTATCTGAGTTGAATTGCTTATGTTGAAATGTCGAGAGCTCATTATTGTTTGACATTAAAAGCCGACAAAAATGGAAGGTTAGCAGATGTATTGCAGGCATATCTATGATGAATGCATACCGATATTTTCATATGTACGAGTATACAAATTACGTGTGGTTGTACAGATGCATGTCTGCACTTGCAAAGTCAATGTCACAATCATGTGGTTAAATACTATTTGGAAAAGTTTGCGGTAGAAGTTATGACAGTCCATGTTAGGTTTCTGGCATAATTTTGGAATTATTTGCTGTGCAAATCAGTAATTTGCAGTCATTGCACGAACATGCATTCACTGCGTGTGAGCAGGAAAAGTCATTACTGAGCTTAAGTTGCTTTTTAAGGCTTCTAATGTGTTGAGGTGTGAGCTAACCACACATAATACAGAGGAAATAAATATGTCTCTGAACGAATAACAGCTAGTTTACAATTACTTTCATATGATTTCTATTTTCATTCATAGTCATTTTTGTTGCTAAAGCAATTGTAATATAAATTTTATGTTATATACCATACATGCAAAAGCCAAAGCCACAAAACAATGTCGAAATTATTGGGCAGTTGACACTGAAAATGACTCCAAAAGTTTTAACCTTAATGTTTAGTGCTTTTTTTCAAGGAAAAAATTTCAAAATGTGAAGTCCTGACATTTAAAAATGTTTCCTACAATTTTCCTAATTTAAATGCATAACATAACACTATTAGGAATATAAGGGATTGTTTTATTTAGATCAGGGCTGTCCAGACCAGATGCGATCGCAGGCCAATACAAATTACTGTATAGATCGAACGCCCGTAAAAACAAATACATACGTTCATAGTTCTTATTATAATTATATTATAACGGTTATACGGTTATAACGTTAAATTTAGTTTTATTAATTTATTAATTTAAATTCTTTTATTTGGTATACCACAAAAATAAAATATTGTGATTTTACCAGTACATCAAAAGAAACTTTACGTGATTGTAGTAAAGCAGTCGCGGACCGCATAAACATTAACCTCGGCCCGCATGTGGCCCACGAGCATTATTTTGGACAGCCCTAATTTAGATAATGGAATTATCTGAAAATATTTTAAATTATTTACATTATTTTATATTTTTTTTTGTTAGTTAGAAGAAAAACTACGAAACAAAGCTTTTTTACTGCTTTAATGCTATAAGATTTATCACTCTCAGATATGGATTGAACCTCCTAGAACCACTGTGAAGACCATTAACATGATGCTCTAGCGTCAGAAGATTCTTCATTAGAACTAACTTCTGATTAGTTAAATTCTTTACTCTGCTCTTTCCTCATGCTCGGCATAGCTAAGTTGAATTGTTATTCCCGCTATTCCTTCACAATATCGTGTCCAGTGGCGTAACTACAGGGAAGCAACTGGAAGCAACGCTTTCGGGCCCCCGAATTTAGGGGGCCCCACTATAAATTTTTGTATTCATTGTATTTATTTTTAATAAATTCTCAAAAGTGGGACGAAACGTTTTTTGTTGGGACGAATAACTTCATATTGCATTTTATAAAAGATACGTAAATTTTAAATTTAAAGTACATAATATGTATGTACTTCAAATAAAATATTAAACCTATTTATAAAATAAAAAAGTTTTTCTAAGAAAAATATGTGTCTTAATCGAGAGACTTATATGGAAGCTATATTTAGATTTAAACCCATTTGAAAATAATTTTGTACGTTGTCTTTTGCAAATATCAGTACTGTATACACCAAATTCCATTTGAATACCTTTATTAAAAACGGAGAAACCTCATATCCGATTGTTAAGTTTATATCACAGCTACAAGAAATAGACGTCCAATTTCAATCAAATCAAATGGTGAAAAGGGTCGGCTCCCGAAAAGTATGTGTGTAAAGTTTCATTCGAAGAGTTCAAAAGCTGAGAGAGTAGTTTGAACTGAAAAAGTATATATATATTGTACTGATATATACTTAATGGTATTTCCGACGTTTCCTTTAATGCGTTACAAAAATCTTGACAAACCTTATATATCCTTTTCACATTTTTTCGTGTAAATAGTATAAAAAGCCCCTTAGTATGTTGGTAGGGGCCCCTTAGTTAGAATTTGCTTACAGGCCTAAAAAATGTAGTTACGCCACTGATCGTGTCATTTATCTATATTGTTTCAAAAGTATTGAGTAGCATTCTTCACAGTGAGAACTTTCCTAGAAATGCATATAAGGAATTATTTTTTCTCCATATCGAGCGCATTCCAATAATTTATGTGTAGCGTGTTTTAGTAAGGTGTTTTCTATATAACAAAACTAGTTTAAATACATAACAGGCCATGTTTAGGAAACAAGACCAGTTCTCTTGTGTTGATTACACTTGAATATAATAGATTAATAATATATGGACATTCTTTCCCAACTAGTAGTAAAGTTCCATGTTTTTGCAGTCAATTTAAGAGAATATGGTATTTCAAAAATTAATTGAAAGTGTACAAACAAAAGAATATTTCTGTCAGAGATTTTGTAAGGTTGTGTAAGGAAATACAAACACATAGTATTATTCTAGTCTTTTTTAATAATATATAATAATATATATAATTTTAATAAATTTTAATAAAAACATCTTTTTATCTTTAGGTTCTGGTATGTTGGGTGGTTGGTGGTTTGGTGCTTCACCTTCTTCACCTGATAGTAATTTTCTACGTGTTGCGAATGCATTTCCAAATCGGCGACTCTCCGATAACACTTTGATGACACCAAAAATACGCATTGCTCCTTCATGTGCGTCATCGCCAGGCGGCACACCTGGCAGTGGTTTGCCAACTCGGCGCCACTCAAGTATTGGACCTCAAGAGAGACGTGGTTCGACAATTAATTTATCTCCGCCAACTGTAAGTAGCGACTGCATTAGTTTTAGTAATTTTGAACATTGTTTAGTTTTTATTTTGTTAATGTTTAGCGGCTATTGCCTTTCATAATAATTAAATTTTTCGTTCAATATATAAGAATTTTTAATTAAAATTAATATTCATTTATTAAAACCAAAAAATAAAAATATTGTTAAAAAATATAGTACATATTTTTAGTTCGTTTTTATGTTTGTTAACTCTTTTGTATTATATTATATATAGTTCTATGTTAAAGAAATTTATAATTTATATTTTTCAAATGCTTTACTTAGCTGCTAAATGATATTTCTGTAGGGACTTACTAACTATATATAAATATATATACATATATTGTACTTTATTTTTTTTTTTTTGTTTGTCAATTATTTTATTTATGATAAATCGAATTTTAATGATTTAATTAATTTATAACAAATTTGTAAACATTTTAAATAATGTCCTTAGACTTATGGTTTCGGTGCCCGCGGTAGCTCAGGATCAAGTCTTTCAGTACCCTCGTCTTCTGCTTATGTTGTAAGTTTAAAAAACTCAAAAGAGTGCCCCTCTCTATGAAATATAATTGAGGGGCCTCATAACGTCTGAGTGTTCGAAAGTGCGAGTTGCAGTCTTAACGTGTTGCAACGTGTAAAACTACAAAAAAATTATCATAAATGCATATATACTATTTCGAGGTCGCACGCTCGTTTGCAATGTTGCTAGTTGTCACCTAAAAATTTCTTTCAACGAGGAATTAAATGGTTGCTACGTTTTTCAATGAAATATTTTCGTTATTTATTTGTTATATTTATTTAAAATAAATTTTTGCATTTTGATGTACTATTTTATGTTTTGTCCTTATTTGTCAAAATGTCCATATTTTCTTGCTATGAATTGGTATTATCATTTCTTTTTGTTGTGCAAAATTATCGGTAAATATTTTTAACTTAAAAAAAATTAAAAATTTTTTGCTAAAATATTTATGTGAGTAAGTGTGACTGTGGAAATAAATTTATTTTTTAAAAGAAAAAATGTATGAAAAATATTTTTTTTCAACACAAAATAATTGAAAATTCAACAATGTGTGAAATTATAAGTTGTTTTGTTAAGGACATTAAGGTATAAAAATATTTTAACATATGAATATTACAAAAAGAACGAATAAAGCAGATTATATGCCTAAAGAGTCAAAAAATGAGTAAGTTTTGATAGAACGTAATGAGGAGAGTAAATAACACTAGCCAAGCAGTAGTTAGTAAATACGGTTATAATATATATTCATATTGTAAATACGTTACTTATATTAAAACTAGATTGTTATATGCAGTTTAACTATCTAATAATGCAATACATCATTATGACATCATTAGATCTGTTCACTATAGAGAGGTTTTCATTCAGCGAAAAATTTTAAAAGGAATATCAAACATAAATGCGAACTTAATAAGTTTTAATTAACCTCAGATTGGAATGTTAGTACTTTTGTGTATTGCTTTTTAGAAACAATTTAAATTATGAATAATTATAGTAATTTTTTATTAATATATTTGATTAATAGTATGTTCGTTTTAATATTATATATGAATAACTTTTGTCAGTATTAAATTTTATATATCCAATATATTATAATAGATAATAGTTTCTTAATATTTTCTCGGAAGCACATGATAGTCCACTAAACATTTCCCAGTGCCCCACCCAAAGTTTATTATTAGTTTAAATCTAGTATAAAAACGCATTGAAATTCAAATTTTTAAAATATTCCAGAAAAAAAAAACTAATAAATAATAATAAATTATATACTAAAATTTGATTTATAAGTTTTTGAACACCATATTCTATTCCAGCATTTATTACTTAATGTAAAGCAGATGTGCAACTTAAGTAACTCTACTATTTTGAAGAAACTTGAAATTTTCGTATAATTGAAGAGTTTTATCCAAATGTGCGAATTCGAGTATACTGAAGGAGTGCGAATATTATTATATTTAAACAATTAGAAGCACTACTACGACTATAATCAGAATATTTATTTAAGTGGTATTACTATTTAGATATTTTGTATTAATATTTACAACTCGAATATGTTCGATTAGCTCAATCATTTTTAAATATTTATAGTGTTCGAATTCGGATATATACGAACTGCTCGAATATTATAATGTTCGAACAATTTAGAACTTTACTACAAATGTAGTCACGGTATTCATTTACGTCTCAACTATGTTCGAGTAATTTATATATTTTCGAATATTTGCACTGTTTTAATTTAAATATACTCGAACTGTTCGAATGTATTCGTGATACCAATTTAAGAAGTATTCTTTTCCAAATAAATAGTTATAATATTTACTCAAAATGAAAATTAATAACCTTTTTGCAGTTTTTGAATAGTTTTTATTTAAATTAAATATTGCAAAGTGCTATTTTAAAACCCTGATACTGTTAAGTGCTCTTTTGTAGCACTTAATTTTTAAAATCACAAGTTTGCCATCAACATCAACTAACTTCTGCGGAATGCAATACAATACAGTATGCAATATTTGGAAATAGGCCTTCACTTATAATATGTATATTTATATGAAATAGTAATTACTGACTACTTTACTTAAAATTCATTTCAACGAATTTCAAAATAAAATTAATATTTAAAATGTTGGTCATAAGAGCTTAAATAAATTTATTC